AACTTTGAGATGGGTTTGGTTGATTTTAAACTGATTTTCTAGGTTTTGGGTTTTCCCCAGAAGATTCTCTGATGGGTTTTGTCTTTTTGATGTTATAAATCTCTCTTTTTTTTTTTTGATTMATTGAGTTGGAAATTGGTAGATGGAAAAGCAAATTTGTCTACTAGTGAAGTGATTTTTCCAGAGGAACTGACGAACTGTTTTAGTGGCTACTTTTTTTTTATTTTCTCGGGAAAATTTTATGACCACTTGATGAGATATTTTTGTTCCGCTGACCTGACCAAAAATTGTTTTTTTTTTTTTGGCTGCGGAGAAACTTTGAGTAGAAAAAAAAAATTAGGTTTTTAATTTTAATAGACAGAAGAAAAAACGGAATCTTCTTCTGCTGCAGAAACGCCAAATTTTTCTTTTCCCGTGAGAAAGTTTTCTCGGGAAACCAGAGAAACCCTTAAAAAAAAAATGGTTTTTGATTTGATAATGAGAAATTGAGAATTGTGTCTCTATTCACATGAGAGCCTCCGTGATTTCTGGAACATGAGATTCCGTGTTCTTCAAGACTTCTGTTCTTACTCTTATAACTAGAAATGGGTTTGTGTTTGATTCATTGCCTTTTTTTTCTTTTCACAAATCAATCCTCCACTAAAGAAAAAAAAAACAAAAGATTCTCTTTTCTATTTCTCTTAACCTTTTTTGAACGAATCCACTCACTCCCAAAAAGATCTCTGCTTCACTGTCTGAATTTCTCGAACTATGTTCTGTTTTGTTTTTGTGGTCTTTTTGATTCCATGTTTGATTGTGATTTTTGCAGAACAACAACAACAACAGTTTTGTTGAGTCATCATCATCAAACATACCTGAGTATGATATTGGAGAAGAAGGAGATTTATTTAAAGCTCCTGATCCAGTTCTTGAAGAACCAATCTTAGCCGTTGATCCACTCTCAGCTGCTTTGACCATGATCTCTTGCGTTGAAGACACTTCACAAGGGCTTTGTGAGCTTCCCGATCTCGATCTCGGGTCGTTGCAGAGTGGTCAACAGCTTTTGGACAAAGCCTTTTATGAATGTGAGCAAGATCTCATGATGAAATCAGCCATGGAGTCTCCATTCTCTGATGTTTTAGACATCAAGAGCATCTCTGTGGTGACTACGACTATCGATGAGAACCAGGAGTTGCAGAAGAGCGTAAGCTCGGGGAATTTGAGCTCTATGGATTGGTCACAGGCTCAGCAAGAGACTGTTGTCATTCAGAATTTCCCTGAGTTTGCTCCCATGGATTTTAGTTCTGTTTACGGGATGCGAAGAGCCTTTAGCGAAGGCGACATTCAGGTTCGAAACATTGAACTCAATTGAAAGTTTTACGCGATTTTGTGAAACTTGAATCATCAACAATTTGAAGCAAAGTTGAGACCATTTTAGACTAAGAAATGAAAATGATTTGAGTATATCTTGTTGTGTTTTTGATGAACAGAAACTCGGGACAGGTCCATCTCCATTGGATAGGATTATTGTGAGCTGTACTTCAGAGGATCGTCGTGAGAAGCTTTCTCGATACAGGAACAAGAAGAGCAGGCGAAATTTCGGGCGTAAAATCAAGGTATTGAAAAACTAAACACTCGAAGAGGATCTTCTAAATGATTGAGAATCTATCATTTTTAGCTCAAAAGCAAACACCTAAAGATCCTCTAAATGATTGGGAATTAATAATCATTTTAGCTCAAAACAAACACTTGAAGAAGATCTTCTAAGTGATTGAGAATGAATCTTTTAGGCTCAAAGAAGACAAACATTTGAAGAAGATCTTGTAAATGATTTAGAATGAATCTTGTAGGCACAAAGTAACTGAAATCTAATTTGTCTTTTGGTTTGGTTTCAGTATGCTTGTAGGAAAGCTCTTGCGGATAGCCAACCGAGGATCCGCGGAAGGTTTGCGAAAACCGATGAGAGGAAATAGAATGGTTTAAAAGAACCTCAAAGGGGAAGGAGACTGAGCAAACAAAAGCAAGAAACATGGAAGAATAAAGAAGCAAAAGCGTATCTCGTTAGCAACTAGTTTTGTTTAATATGATATAAGTATGTATAAACTTTAAATCTTTATAAGCCTCCAATTAGTTTTTGTATATAAAGGGTCTCTCTGAAATCTGAATAATCTTTGAAGGAAAGAAATTGTAGCTATAGAAGTAATGTAATGGTCGTAAGAG